GAGCAGAGGAGAGAGGAGAGAGGAGAGAGGAGAGAGGAGAGAGGAGAGAGGAGAGAGGAGAGGAGAGGAGAGGAGAGGAGAGGGGAGGGGAGGGGAGGGGAGGGGAGGGGAAGGGAGGGGAGGGGAGAGGAGAGGAGAGGAGAGGAGAGGAGAGGAGAGGAGAGAAGACGCGGGGCGCAAACTCTTCAAAACGAGGACCCAACACCACAGGATGGTTGGGAAAAACTGTGCTGGCAGAGGCTGTTCGTGGGGGCAGCGCAAGCTGAGGGGCCTCCAGGGGGGCCCCACTTCCCGCGCTCTTCTGGGCGACTCCAAACGCGATTTACGCGAGCCCTGTTGCCGGCTGCGCAGTTTGACTACATGCTCTGCTGGTCAAGATCTTTCTTCCTGGGTCCACGTCCCGAGATCATGTTGACCGTTTCGTTGTCCCTCGGCGGAGATGCACGGTCCGTCGTAAGGCGATTAGTCTCTGCCTCTTCTGGACTTCTCGGGTCCCAAGCCTCTGGAGGGGCCACGAGGGCATGATCGTCCTGTCTCCGAACCCTTGACAGGGCAATGCCTGCGGGGCCCTCGCCGCTGTGAAGAGGCAAGCTCGTACTGACTCCTCCTCCTCCTCCTCCGCCTCCTCCTCCTCCTCCTCCTCCTCCTCCTCCTCCGCCTCCTCCTCCTCCTCCTCCTCCTCCTCCTCCTCCTCCTCCTCCTCCTCCCCCTCTTCCTTCCTGAAGGAGGACGAGGCAGCAACAGCAAGAGGAAGACGAGGACGGAGATGGGGAGCAGAGAGGAGCGAATCGGGAGAAAAGAGAAGGAAGGGAGGGAGGGAGGGAGGGAGGAAGGAGAGAGGAAAGAGGAAGAAGCAGGAGGTCGCCGTGGCTCCTCCCACGTCTCCTGCCTCAGCGCCCGCTGGCCCACGTCCTTCAGCCTCTGGTTCAGCCGCTGGATGCCTCGCGGCGCGCGAGGGCTCGGCGAGACCTGCTGCTGCTTCCCCCGGCTTTGACCACCCACACCGAACACGCCACCTGGGATGTTCGACTCATCATGTGACTACCTACCAGGCCACCCCAACCCAACGTCTTCGAATGTCGGGTTGAGGGGGGTACGGGTTCCATACGTGTTTTTTCGATGTTCCCCGACCCCCCCCCCCCCCCACACACTGGAAATAGCAGGCAAATTGAGGCCTTCGGGTTGGGTTGGGATGGTTTGGTGGGTGGTGATCGTGTGAGTTCGCATTCAGCGTTGCTGCTTAGGGTCTCTGTGCTGTCGTCGGCGCCTTCGCCGGCGCCATCGTCGGCGCCGACGTCGCCGATCTCGCCGTCGCCATTGTCGCCGTCGGCATCGTTGTCACCGCTGGCGTCGTCGTCGTCGTCATCGTCTTCGTCGCCCTCGCCGTCACCGTCGCCGCGGTGTGGTCGCAAATTCTCACGAGCAAAATAACCCACCGACTGTAACACGACGATGCGCTGTTTCATGCCAGCAGCTGTGAAGCTCCTGCTGCTTAATGTTTCACTGCGCCGACCTTGCAAAAGTTGTAGCGGATTCTCGCGTGGATTTCTGTCAGTGCAAAGTCCCGAAACGGCGAGTGGAAAACGAAGTTAATTTCGCGTGAATGTTTTTTCCCAACCCTCCTGGGTTGGATATTCGTTTTGAATAAGGGACTGTGGTCTCCACTTTCCTTCCTCCTGCCTCCCCCCTCCTGCTGCGTCCTGCTTCCTGCTTTATTCTCAACCCTCCTGCGTTGGACACTCGTTTTGAATAGAGCACTGCGGTCGCGTCTTCCTTCCTCCTCCTTCCCGTCCCCCTCCTCTCCTCCCTTCTCCCGATCTGTGGCACTGTCGCCACTTTCGGGGGCTGCTGGGGGGGCCCAGCACATTGACGTCTTACGGGGACTCAGATTAGACCTCGCCATCCCTGGGGGGCTGCGATCCGTGAAACTGTCGCCACTTTCAAGGGCTGCTGGGGGGGGGCAGCGGAGTGACGTCTTACGGGGACTCAAATTAGACCTCGCCGTCCCTGGGGGGCTGCGGTTTGTGAAACTGTCGCCACTTTCGAGGGCTGCTGGGGGGCCCAGCACAGTGACGTCTTACGGGGACTCACATTAGACCTCGCCATCCCTGGGGGGGCTGCGATCCGTGAAACTGTCGCCACTTTCAAGGGCTGCTGAGGGGCCCAGCACAGTGACGTCTTACGGGGACTCATATTAGACCTCGCCATCCCTGGGGTGCTGCGATCTGCGAAACTGTCGCCACGTTCGAGGGCTGCTGGGGGGCCCAGCACAGTGACGTCTTACGGGGACTCAGATTCGACCTCGCCATCCCTGGGGGGCTGCGATCTGCGAAACAGTCGCCACTTTCGAAGGCTGCTGGGGGGCCCAGCACAGTGACGTCTTACGGTGACTCACACTAGACCTCGCCATCGCTGGGGGGGCTGCGATCCGTGAAACTGTCGCCACCTTCGAGGGCTGCTGGGGGGGGCAGCGGAGTGACGTCTTACGGGGACTCAGATTACACCTCGCCATCCCTGGGGTGCTGCGATCTGCGAAACTGTCGTCACTTTCGAGGGCTGCCGGGGGGGTGCCAGCACAGCCTGCGGACTCAAATGGGACCTCGCCATCCCTGGGGGGCTGCGGTCTGTGAAACTGTCGCCATTTTCGAGGCCTGCTGGCGGGGCCCAGCACAGTCTGCACCCGCGGCGGATTCAAATTAGACCTCGCCATCCCTGGGGGGCCGCGATCTGTTAAACTGTCGCCACTTTCGGGGCCTGCCCAGCACAGTCTGCGCCCGCGGCTGATTCAAATTAGACCTCGCCATCCCTGAGGGGCTGCGATCTGCGAAACTGTCGCCACTTTCGAAGTCTGCTGGGGGGCCCAGCACACTCTGCACCCGCGGCGGACTCAAATGGTACCTCGCCATCCCTGGGGGGCTGCGATTTGCGAAACTGTCGCCACTTTCGAGGCCTGCTGGGGGGCCCAGCACAGTCTGCGCCCGCGGCAGACTCAAATGATACCTCGCCATCCCTGGGGGGCTGCGATCTGCGAAACTGTCGCCACTTTCGAGGCCTGCTGGGGGGCCCAGCACAGTCTGCACCCGCGGCAGACTCAAATGATACCTCGCCATCCCTGGGGGGCTGCGATCTGCGAAACAGTCGCCACTTTCGAGGCCTGCTGGGGGGGCCAGCACAGTCTGCACCCGCTGCTGACTCAAATGAGACCTCGCCGTCCCTGGGGGGCTGCGGTCTGTGAAACTGTCGCCATTTTCGAGGCCTGCTGGGGGGCCCAGCACAGTCTGCACCCGCGGCGGATTCAAATGAGACCTCGCCATCCCTGGGGGGCTGCGATCTGCGAAACTGTCGCCACTTTCGAGGCCTGCTGGGGTGCCCAACACAGTGGGTACCAACGGCGGACTCAAATGGGACCTCGCCATCTTAGCACAATCTGCACCCGCGGCGGACTCAAATATGACCTCGCCATCCCTGGGGGGCTGCGATCTGCGAAACTATCGCCACTTTCGAGGCCTGCTGGGGGGCCCAACACAGTCTGCACCCACGGCGGATTCAAAGGGTACCTCGCCATCCCTGGGGGGCTGCGATCTGCGAAACTGTCACCACTTTCGAAGGCTGCTGGGGGGCCCAGCACAGTGGGTACCCACGGCGGACTCAAATGAGACCTCGCCATCCCTGGGGTGCTGCGATCTGTGAAACTGTCGCCACGTTCGCGGCCTGCCGGGGGGCCCAGCACAGTGGGGCCACACGCAGATTCAAATTAGACCTCGCCATCCCTGGGGGGGGTGCGATCTGTGAAACTGCCGCCATTTTCGAGGCCTGCGGGCGGGGCCCAGCACAGTGACGCCTCCCAAGTAGCTTACACACCAAGTCGATTGTCCATACAAGTTTCGGCCAACTCCTCGTTTCCATTTATACAAATGGGTTGGGTGCGTCACAGGGTAATTCACAACCCTCCTTGGTTGGGTAATCGTTTTGAATAGAACAGTGTGGTCTCCACTCCCTTTTTCCCGTCCCGTCTCCCTCTTGCCTCCTCCTGTCTTGCCTGCGGGGGGCTGCGACCTGTGAAACTGCCCCTACTTTCGAGGCCTGCTGGGGGGGGGCCAGCACAGCGACGCCACGCGCGGACCCAAACTAGACCTCGCCATCCCTGGGGGGCTGCGATCTGTGAAACTGTCGCCACTTTCGATGCCTGCCGGGGGGGCCCAGCACAGCGACGCCACGCGCGGACCCAAATTAAACCTCGCCATCCCTGGGGGGCTGCGATCTGCGAAACTGTCGCCACTTTCGAAGCCTGCTGGGGGGCCCAGCACAGTGACGCCACGCGCGGACCCAAATTAGACCTCGCCATCCCTGGGGGGCTGCGGTCTGTGAAACTATCGCCGCTTTCGAAGCCTGCTGGGGAGAGGCCAGCCAGCACAGTGACGCCACGCGCGGACCCAAATGTGACCTCGCCATCCCTGGGGGGGCTGCGATCTGTGAAACTGTCGCCACTTTCGAAGTCTGCTGGGGGGCCCAGCACAGTGACGCCACACGCAGACCCAAATTAGACCTCGCCATCCCTGGTGGGGCTGCGATCCGTGAAACTGTCGCCACTTTCAAGGTCTGCTGGGGGGCCCAGCACAGTGACGCCACGCGCGGACCCACATTAAACTTCGCAATCCCTGAGGGGGGGGGGGGGGCTGCGATCTGCGAAACTGTCGCCACTTTCGAGGCCTGCTGGGGGGCCCAGCACAGCGACGCCACGCGCGGACTCAAATTAGACCTCGCCATCCCTGGGGGGGCTGCGATCTGTGAAACTGTCGCCACTTTCGAAGTCTGCTGGGCCCAGCACAGTGACGCCACACGCAGACCCAAATTAGACCTCGCCATCCCTGGTGGGGCTGCGATCCGTGAAACTGTCGCCACTTTCAAGGTCTGCTGGGGGGCCCAGCACAGTGACGCCACGCGCGGACCCACATTAAACTTCGCAATCCCTGAGGGGGGGGGGGGGGCTGCGATCTGCGAAACTGTCGCCACTTTCGAGGCCTGCTGGGGGGCCCAGCACAGCGACGCCACGCGCGGACCCAAATTAGACCTCGCCATCCCTGGGGGGGCTGCGATCTGTGAAACTGTCGCCACTTTCGAGGCCTGCTGGGCCCAGCACAGTGACGCCACGCGCGGACCCAAATTAGACCTCGCCATCCCTTGGGGGGGGCTGCAATCTGTGAAACTGCCGCCACTTTCGAGGCCTGCTGGGGGGCCCAGCACAGTGACGCCACGCGCGGACCCAAATTAGACCTCGCCATCCCTTGGGGGGGCTGCGATCTGTGAAACTGTCGCCACTTTCAAGGCCTGCTGTGGGGCCCAGATCCCCGTTTTCGAAGTGGCTAGGGGTGCTCAGGGATTGTAACTAACCAGCTTTATCTAGTCCTTGTCCTGTAGCCATGCGAGTCTCCCGAATTCCGTCTGCAGACATATGTAACCCTCGCTCCGTCATCGCCCTCCTTATAAAGTGTCATAAACTATTTGCGCCCCGCGTTTGCGCAGGGGTTGGGTACGTCGCCAAAGTAATTGTTTGTCTTCATTCCTGACCAAAAAATATCCGCGCGAAGTTCACCTCGAAATCCGGAATTATCCAGGACACTCCGGGCCCATCCTATCGTTTTCCTGAAAAAATCCGCCATGAAATGTTGCTACCATACCAATCCCAATGCCTTCAAGATCCGCCACCGTGTCGCAGGCACGCCGTGGAGTTGGTGTCATCCGGACTTCATCAGTTCTCAGTACGGTGTGGGCAGTGGATCTGGAGGCCAGTGAAACTCCGATCGTTGATCGGCCATGGATATCACCGCCGCCCTCGTTGGATAAGGAATCCTCCAGGGTCTGGCGCCTCCTGGGACTATGCCTTAACAAACGCCTCCACCGTAATGACTATTGAACAGCAGTCACATACGTCAGTAAGGACCTTGGACCCCAAAGTCCTCAGAAGCGCCAAACTGACCTCAAAGAGGCCCCCGAAAGGCCCCTACGGGGCCTCCAGAGGCCCCCGAGAGGCTCCAAAAGCGCTCCTTGCCAAGCGAAGCCAGGAGGACTCCGAAAGGCCTCCAGCCCTCGCACGTCGGTGGAATGGGCTGAAGGCCACTAGTGATTTGAGAGGTCACACCAGAAAACAGACACGTGGGAAGTGCCCCAGCGTCAGATGGGAAGGGAAGAATAAGAGCAAGAGCAAAATCAGCACAGCAGCAGGGAGCTGTCAACGGACATAACAGAGCTGCTGGTGCTGCTGCTGCTGCTCGTCATTGCGCATGCCGTGCTGGCACCTTCGGTGCGGAGCTGCTCAAACAACTCGTCGGCCGTGATGATCTCGATGTGTCTGAGCTTCTCCTCGTCAAAGCTGTTTAACAGGGCACCCCACTCACGACTTCCGTGCTGCACGTGATGCTAACAAACCTTCATCAAAGGGGAGGAGCCGAACCGGCAAACAAACGGCCTGCACCCGTGAGGCCACACGCTGCTGACACGAGCCCAGCATCCTACGTGCAAACATCGGTCACGAAATTGAGCTCCTCCTCCTCCTCCTCCTCCCTCCTCCTCCTCCTCTCCTCCTCTCCTCCTCCTCCTCCTCCTCCTCCTCCTCCTCCTCCTCCTCCTCCTCCTCCTGGGCGCCGCAGGCACAGACCCGGGCTCATATGCAACGAGCTCTGGGGAGTAAGTCGCATCGGCCCCGCCCCTCGATCTGCCCCCCGTGACGGATCCGGGCGGCGACCGTGGCAAAGCCGCTGGCCTGGGCCAAAAAGGGAAAAGCAGATTACACTCGGCACGTCCGCGTCGCGATGACGTCGTCGCTGGTCTCTGACACTGACTACGTGCCAGACCACCCGAACCCAACCCGAAGACCCGCAGTTTGGCCAGGGGGGGGCGCGGGCTTCGGATGAGCTTTTTCAATGTGCCCTGACCCCCCCACCACCACCACTGAGAACGGAGGGCAAATTGGGGCCTTCGGGTTGGGTGTGGGTGGTTTGGTGAGTGGTAAGACACAGCGTGGATCGTGCGACCTTGCGCGATCGCGAGCCTTCAAACAGTGCAAGGAAACTCGATACCGGCCGATGTCAGGCCCCTGGCGGCATTAGACCTAGAACGCCCGCGGAGAGATCGCCGCCGCATCGACACGGCACGAGCACCATCCAACGGAACGCTTCCCGTGCAAAGCGCCAATGTGGTCCCAATCCCTCCCTCACTGAGTCCACTAGTTCCTCGCGCCGAAGTGAAGGGGGTCAGCGGGAGGAGGGCCACAACGGTGGTGTGTGCGTGTGTGTGCATGTGTGTGCGCATCATGGAGGGCCTGAAGCAGCGGTCGTTATGAGGCAACGAGCTGTTCTCCCGCTTCCCACAGCGTGCGGCGTGAACAAAAGCGTAGAGAATAGAGTTGCTGGCACGCTTTCGAACTAAAATGTATGCATGCATTCAAGTGTCCCTGAGCCCGCAGAATGGGACATACTCAGCCGGGGAGTGTTCTGGAGGGGGGGGGCGCTTCTTGACTGTGGTGCTGGCTGCACGACAACCAGGCGTTGGAGGGTAAACCTAGGATCAAGCATGCGTGTCGACGTCGACCCGCAAGTGGCGACCGTTTCCCCAGTCGGCGCTGATCAAGCACTGCCTGCGTCTCGACTGCTACGATAGTATGACGCTCGCTCTGCTGCGTCGTAATGTACCACTCCGAGCTCGCAACGCTGTTCGAAACGCGGCTCGGCGCATCCGGAGGGGACAACACGATCTCGAGGGAGGCCAGAGAAGATGGCCATAGAGAACGTAGCATAGCGAGGCGGAGGCCCCCTGAGGCGGAGCAACAGACCAAACGACTTGGAGGCCCGAACCGATCTCTCGTGTCGGCACTGGACTCCCCTGCCAGCACCCCTTCCCGGCGCGCGAAGCGCGCCAGGGGTGTGGGCATTGGGGGAGGACCAGCGCTGACCCAAGAAATCCGCGCGGACCTCCGAGAGCGCATCTCTGTGAACCCACAAGCCGGGACGGGCCGAGGCGGGCCCGTCCTCCGTGCTGTCCAGCTCTGCGGGCCCCCAGCGCGGCACCGCTGCCTGCGCGCAGGCTCGGCGGCCGCGGAGCGGGCTGCTGCCAGAAGTGCCCCCGGCCGAAGGTGTCCCCAGCATGTCCAAGGAGGCTCCGGCAGCCTCTGGAGCACCCCGCACGAGGCCCCAGAAGGCCCCAGGGGCGCCAAAGTGGAGCGAAAAGCTAGGCACCCTGGGCCAGGGACACACACCTTGCGGCGACTCAGAGGGGTATGGTTTGCCAAGGGTGTGGCTTGCAACCTGCACCTTGGGAGGCGGGCGAGGACCTCGACGGAGCTCTCCGCCGCACCCCGAGGAGGCCCGACGAAGGCAACGTGGTGCCCCCCCCAAGCCCCTACGCAGATCGCGAACCACACCCCGGCATAACCACACCCGGTGTAGTCGCCGACCCTGCCGCAACGCCTGCATACTGGTCACTGGCTCGCCCACACCCATTCCGATTCCCTGGGCCGGAACGCCAGAGAGCGCGGCGGCCCGTACCCCACGAGCGTGGCAAGTATCCATATCCACGCCCACGCAGTCTGGATTCCAGGGCGCGATCTCGCGGATACGTGGGCGCGGATACGTTCCGCGCGGGGCCTCAGCGAAAAAACGCACCGTATCCACGGGGTCGCGGCCCAGGGGCCCGGCCCAAGAGGCCGCGAATGCGGATATGCTCTTCTCCAACGAGCACCTGCGAATCGCTGGCACAGCAATGCGTGCTGCTGCCGTCAAGGTCCCCCTGGGGCCCATGCGTCGCGAATCCGGCGCACATCGACTCAGCGTGCGCGCAACAAGCTGCGCAGCTGATGACGCTTCAGAGACTGGTGCCCTTGTGGGCCCAAGTCTCGCAGCGGTCCAGAGGTTTCGTTACCATCGGAATTAGCATTAGCCACCATGGTTGAATCTGGCCATCAGCAGTTAGTTTCTCTTCCCTTGTGGCTTCCTCGGCGTGGCAATGCACGGGCTGATTAAGTGCCCGAGCAGGCGCTCAAAACACTTCACAAGGCCAACGGTGGTACGTATCTATGCACATCACTGCGAAGACCACAAGAACACGATAAAATACACCGGCAACGGCATTGGCGTCGGCGGCTGCAACGCTGGATTGCGAATACGACGAAATGATGCAGCGATCACAGGAAACAGGAAGTGTCGGTGACGGAGGAAGCGACGATGGCATAAAGAACTGTGACGGTACAAATTGCAACGGCCAGACTTTGGAGCAAACGCCACAGCAGCAATCTCAGTGCCAGCGGCGATGGTGATGGACAGAGAGGTAGGTGACAGGAAGTCACTGCACGTTGCCTGGAGCTCTTCTCGCAGGGAGCCGACGGCGCTACAGCACGCCGGTTTTGCTCGCGCCGTCGCGGCCATGAGCAGCTGCTGTCGC